CGTGCTCACCTTGTTAGCTCACTTATTCTTGTTCTCTTCTTTGTGCAATTATTTCTGTTCGCCAATGTAGCTAAATATTGCGTTTCATGTGCATATATGCTTCTATTCCTTATCGTTTGTACATGGGAGAGAATCGAACGTGACAGTTTAGTATTTGCTTGGGTTTAGACAGTGTGTGTGTTTCTTCTTCAGACGACTGAAGAAAAAGAAAGAGGCCTACCCGTAGTAATGCCCGTGTTTGACCGCAATACTTGCAACATCCCAAAGTCTCAGACAACGTTCATGGATATCTTTATAATGAACACGTTCGACGCTTGGGACAGTGAGTTCATAGTTAATCAATATAAATATATATGTAAATATAATATTAATATAAGCTCTGCTTGCGTCCGGGAAACGTTTCATTAACTGCACCAACGCTGTTCCAATGTGCGCAGCTAGTCTAGCCAGACACTAGGTGTGCCGTAGAGGCCCACTACCACACGCTGTTTCAAACAATGTGAAACCATAAGCTAATCATATTATATATATACACATAATATGATTAGCTTATATAATATATATATATATATCCAATATATGTATTACGTATATATATTGATGAAATGACATGTAATCGGAAGTCAAGCGATCGATCGTAGTCGGAACTGCGTTTGTAAATGAGCACGCAGGTCGAGTTTTAATAAGCCACCAACCGCTGCGTCTCATTCTCTAGATTTTGCAGACGTAGGAGAACTGATGGAGAACCTACAGGCGAACTACGACTACTGGCAAAGCGAGGCAGCTCTGATAGCACGAAAGGCCGGGGAACAAAGAGCAGAGTCCCTGCATTCATCCTGATTGCTGCGTCGTTCGTGCCACGTAATATCACGCAACACGCAGTTATGACAACGGCCACCACGTTGGCGTGACCATTTAGTCCATGAACTAATTAGTCTCCCAATGTGTCCCGGTAAATTTACCGTCGTCATGGTAATCGGGGCTCCTCGAAGTATTACGATGTTAATATCATCGGTGTTGTAATTATTTCCAAGCGCCACTCACGTTACGTTTTAATGTAACAAACAATAAGAGTGAATATCATTTCCGAGTGCGAAACGAAGATCGAGACAGATCAGAACGTCCAGGTTAGTGAATATGGGAAGCCATGTTCAAGATATATACAAAGGTGTACATAGCCGCGATGTGTTTTACTCGTAACCAAAGAAAGGAATTTCTGGGCACGTAATGTTGAGGTTTGTAAATTTGTATCGTCAACCATTCTGTATTGAGTGTATAGCAGGTAGGGCCTATACCGTGGTAAAGCTTTGCAGTGGTGTAGACTTGCTTTTACCCGTATAGTCGTTACTCAGAAGTTAATGATTTTACTTGATGAAATTGTACAATTTGTATGTTGATTTCGTCTTGTTAACAATGGCCATTATACGTCTGGTTATGCGTCTCATAGACCAGGTCAGTTTTTAAGTATAATTAGGTATTCTTACTATTATAGATTTTTCTACAGACTCGGAGCAACTTGCGTGCAGTCCCATCTGTAATTCATTCATAATTAATTCAAGTATCTGAAAAAAAAGTACGTAATCTCGCAAGAGCGGATCCAGCAATGTACGATGGGTGGTCCACCATGTTAACAAATTATAGTGGGATGATGTCTGCTCAGTAGGATGCCAACAGAGGATCGGGCGCATCCTTTTATCAGCAATTAAGTGCCTCCATTCAACTCACAAATCATTAGTAAGTGGTAGGACAAAGTTGTATTTTGAAGGAATCCATGTGGGAAAAGGCTCATATACAACCAGTACATTCACTTGGATCCGGCCCTGATAAGAAACCTTGCACAAAGAAGTACGGTATGCATAATAATATATTTTTGAAGATGCGTGTTGCCAGTTGTCGCATCTACTGTTAAACACTTATGTAAGGGGGACGTTTGCATATAAACAAACCATGTCACAATGCAAAATCAACGGAAACTGCACAACTGCATATAGAATGAACAGGGTAGCAAAAACCCAGTGCCTATACAGAGTAGCCTATGCCTGTATGATTCGGAATCTGATGTCCAACTATTCATATCAATATTTGTTGTAAAGAAATATTTTATTATGTGTAACTGATTCAATGTTTATGAAGCGTATAATGAATATTTTGAACATTATTTAACGAGAACGTGCATGGCTTCACGCAAAAATTAAACCAGGGTTAATCGACTTAGGATTTGTCGTATAGGCTCAACCAAAATTAGCAAAGCCCACGCCGTTGCGCAATTCATAGGGCCTATAGTAAAGCGTGTTTTTATTACGATAACAAGGGATACAGTAAAACTAGTTGAAGAGTAATCAATAAGTTAACATCGGATCAATGAAAAATAGCGCAGCATTTCACTGGTCAGCAACAGCAGCGGAAACGTTATCGTCGTCGTCATCATCATCATCATCATCATCATCATCATCATCATCATCATCATCATCATCATTGTAGATGAAAGCTACGATTATCAATTTTTTCAACGCCATGTTCACGCAGGCGTAGATTAATGTTATGTTATAATTATATAACCGTATATTAAAAAAAAAAAAAAAAAAAAAAAAAAAGAAAAAAAAAAAAAAAAAAAAAAAAAAAAAAAAAAAAAAAAAAAAAAAAAAAAAAAAAAAAAAAAAAAATATTATACATAATTATTATATATATTATATATATATATATAGTATGTATATAATATAACATATCATTAATGTACTCGTCCTCCGCGAACGACGCGGTGTGTAGCGTGTTATTTTCCCGGATTGCTGCTGCTTCAATCATTGATCGGCTTATCAATATCAATTTAATCAATAATAGGTATCATATCAATGGCCATTATTACTTGCCGTCCGTCATTATGGATTCGCGTTGCTCGAGGTTCTGACCTAGTGTCGATTAAAGAAAACGCGAATGTGATTCTTTCTACAGGCACGGGGACAGTTTCACGGAAATCTTTTGCAGTGCGCAGCCTTCGGATCCCTCAACTAGGGAACCAAGTCTGGCGTATCTCCTGCAAGATAGACGAAATGCAATTTGCGTTTCGTGTAATCTCGCACAGAGATCATGCTATAATTCAGTTCTAGAAAGCGGTGTTTGCTGGAGGGAGGCGAAATAAAAACCACCGGGTGTATCCATGCAACAGCATTGCCACGCACCTCCTGGAAAATGTTTCCTCCAGTATCAATGATGCTGAGAAGTCAGTGATGATCGTGTCTCCATGCTGCAGGGCAGGTACTCACTCATCAGGTTAATCTTCATGTACCATGGCTCGTACTGCTCAAGACGCCAGTAGGTCCACAGCTACATTCTCACGACAGTTTTTCTTCTCTTTCTAGCGCAACAGGACCTGTGTGTTGCGAAGGTAACCACAGTAACATAACTATAGTCAAACGTAGCATGTAGGTTTATTGTTTTAGATATAGGTTATCAAATATTCTACTGTTGCGCTGTTAGATTTATCTATTTAATTTCTTTTACATTTATCAAGTCAGAGTTCAACCAGCTTTTCCCGATCGTCGTTCGGTCCTCCGTCCAGACGATTTATATTTACTTGCCCCTCTGGCGATACTACACCCTTCTAATCTTAGGTCCGGCGCCAGGTTCCGTGTCTAATCGTTGTCACTTAATCCCACCTTCACGAATTGGGCTTTCCGGAATATCAAATAAAGCTAAGATACGGGTTAATGTAATAGCTGTTAGACTCAGTAATATTTACTCGGACAGATTTCATTAATACAGATTGTACAATAACAACATACTGGGGCTGTAGAGGGTCTATGTCGCCCAGGGTACTGCCGAACGTAACCCTGGTAACTATCTAATTGCGGACCGTACCTCGCCTACTCCACTAACGCGTCAAAGAGTTTCCTACGCCTACTCGACCTAACCCTAACCTAACCATTCGAGATAGTTACCAGGGTAAAGTTCCGGTATACCGGACCGTACCCAGAGTACGTTCCGGCAGTACTGAGGACTAGACCCTATGACATACATTGGTGCAATTAATTCGACCGGGTGCGTAAATTTATGTAGTAACGCTGCTAGAGTAGAATGACAATCGGAGTGCATATAAGCTGAGCTTAAGAGGCACTCTGTCACTCACCTTACTGCAGCGACAGCCACTGTGAACATTAATTGCCGCTGCGGCATTTAGACGTCTCTAATAATATAATACAACGATAGAAAACGTAAAACGTAACGACACGGCTATATACTGCAGGAGCGCTTGAGACACGCACAAGGCTTCGTCCCCACTGTGGATGACGTGCGCAAACAGCGGCGATAAGCACAGCGATTACCTTGGGCACCAAAAAGTTGGGACTATTACTTTCGTATCCCCGTCGGTAGGAAAAGCAGTAGAAGACAAATAAGCACGCACACAAAAACACAAGTAGCACTAAAGCCCGCATACACTGTTGAAGTAAAGCGGTTGTTTTTACAGCAAATATATTCATTATTAACATTAGTACTAATTGATGTCACAAGTCACAATAATAGTTAAAGAGACACGAGACTTCGAAACATGAAACATTCCCACTAATTTCCTACAATATATAATATTCGTGTTGATCTAGAAATCGGTGAATTGGAGATAAAATAGGCCGATAACGAATTCAAATAGTCGTGTGTCGGCAAGGCCCAGATCGGATAAGCGAATCAACGGGCTAAAGCGAATCACAAATTTACGATCGATATAACATAACATTTAATTTTTACACAAATGAAATATAAGAACACAGCACATACACGACCGATTGATATCCAATGAGATATCTGCGTGACGTGGTGGAGTGCATTATAGATACATAATGCAAACAAATGCATATAACTCGACACGAATAGACAGATCTAGCGTTTACAAAATATGTACGCTCTCGTTTCAAGCAGATTAACTCTATAATGCCGCGGCCGGTCGCGCGCCCCTGTCTCTATTTACGCGATGATAACAGTGGCGGCCATCTGTTAGTTAAACGACGAACGAAAAGATCAGCTGACACGAATTGTTGAAGGAAGTCGTGGTAATTGTAAGGAATCTAGCTAATGCGAAATAGACGCACATGTATTTATCCCGGAGTAGTACACATTTGCTTCTCATCAACGACTAGTCAGCCAGGCATCGTAGAATGCGTAGTACTGGCTAGGACTGCCAACTGACCGCACTCTCTTTATATTATATATATCCCGTTAATTTTGTTTGCATTTTGAAATAGAAACACGACAGAGCCCAGGAAAACCTATCTTGAAATCTCAAATTATTATGCCAACTGACGATAACAGCCAGAGAATGCAATATGAGAATGTGTAGCGGTGTAGTAGCTTGAGCACTGACTGGTATGGCTGGTACAGCTTGAGTGGTATATATACCATATATATATAATCAGGAGTGAATAAATAGAGATATTAGTTATTCACTGCTTATATGTAGAGTGTTCACTCTCTATTATTCATCCTAATATAATTATTATGTACCAGTCCGCTTCGTTGCTTGGCTCGTAAAAACTATTGTGGGCGACATGAAGACTTAACGAACGCCCGATACAGTAAAGCAGTGCTGTTTTCGATTAGTTCATACGACTTTGCCTAGAGTAAAACAACAGAAACACGTCCTTATTAATAGTGGCGGTCTGCACGTCAGTTAGTATACGGGTCCGTATATCACCAATGGAGACGCGCACCTTTAGATAGATCGCTCATGTCTTTCCAGAAAGTTGCGCGAGAAAAGGTTGCTGATCGACAGCCACCCTCAGATCAGATAGACCACACACGGACACAGGTGTGGGAGAAGCCATTCGCACATTAAGGCTTCAAATGTCCCTTGGCCGTGTGATATACGGCAACGCACGTCTCCGATACAATCTAAACACAAACCCATGCTGGCCAGGATTCGTCGGTCCTC